TTCTCTGTGACAGCTGTCAGTGGATGACAGCTCATGCCCAAACTTCTTCTCAGCAATCCAAACTCAAATCTGTCTTTAAAGTTCACATTTCTACTTGAATATCTGAAAGGCATATCTAGCCAACATGTCTAAAATGAAATTCCTGGTTATCCCTACTAAACCTCCATCTGTTTCTCAAGCTAGAAACTGGTCATCATCCATGGTTTCTTCATTTCTCCCACTGCTCATTCATCACTAAATCTTGTCTAATTTACCTGCAGAATATATCTAAAGCAGTGATGGTGAACCTATGACACGCGTGTCAGAGGTGACACGCGAACTCATTTTTTTGGTTGATTTTTCTGTTAAATGGCATTTAAATATATAAAATAATCAAAAAAAATATGTCTTTTACTATGGTTGCAAATATCAAAAAATTTCTATATGTGACACGACACGAGTTAAGTTAGGGTTTTTCAAAATGCTGACACGCCGAGCTCATCGCCATAACTGATCTAAAGTATTTCCACTTTCCCCAACTCGAGTCCAGACCACCACCATCTCTAGACTACACCACAGACTTCCACTCAACCCTTCCTCTTTCCTCTCTTCAGTACAAGTTACAGTAACCAGATGGGATCATCTATTAAATACGTTGGACTGTTTCTTTCCTGCTTACAACCTTCAAGAGCTGTCTATGACAATCAGATGTGAGGCCTTATTAGGCCTGTGTGATATTATGAATCAGAAATGTGTATTTTGGTTTTTGTCTCAGCTCCTTGTCAGAACTCCTAACACCCTTGCAATTTCCTAAGTGATAAGAACCATAGAATCATCTTTTGCTGTAACATTTGGGTTTTATCATGGTTCCTGAACCAGCTTTGGAGTAGTAATGGTGATGTGTCCTGTTATTCATAACAAACCCCTTTCAACCACACCTGAGTTTACGTTAAGGAGGTGACTTTAGGAAAGCCCCTAAGGATGGAGCCTGGTTGCCAGGGGAACTAACCTTGTGATTGGAGGGTTGGAGCTTTTAGCCTCAGCCCCTGACCTCTGGGGAGGAGAGAGGGTTTGGAGGTTGAGCTCATCACTAATGGCCAATGATTTAATTATCATGTCTACCTAATGAAGACTCTATAAAACAGCCCTAACTAAAGGGCTTTGGAGAGCTTCTGGGTGGGTGGACAAGAACACATCCATGTTCAGGGAGGGTAGCGCATCTCACACTCTCTAGGTGAGGCAGGACAGTAAGAAGCTAAGAACATTCGTTGGCAAGTGGAATGGGGAAACAGACAGAAAGCTGATTCAAACTGGCCTCATTCATCATCCTGACTCACCTGTCTCCTTCTCCTTGCATGACCACTCCCTTAAGCATTAAGCTCTCAGGACAATGAGGTTCTGGTCCATATCAAATAATCAGGAACACAGCCTTGGGTCTGTGCTGGCAAGGTGGCTCAGTGGGTTGGAGCATCTTCCCGTGCACCAAGAGGTTTCAGGTTTAATTCCTGGTCAGGGCACATACCTAGGTTTGATCCTTGGTCAGGAGGCAACTGGTTGATGTTACTCTATCACATTGATGTTACTCTATCACATTGATGTTTCTTTCTCTCTAAAAATCAATAAAAACATATCCTTGGGTGAGGATTACAAAAACAAAAAAACAAAAAAAAAACACCTCTGGTCTATTGACCAGAGACACAGTTTTGGTCAAACCAGAGATAACATCTAGGCTCAGTTGTGTTTCAGCACAGGCTATTATATGAAGACAGAATTGAGACCAACAGATCAAAGTATTTAGATTTTATTAAAAACTTAAACCACAGAAACAAATTAAATGTACAAACGAGAAAATGGGGAAATGATTAGGTAGGAGAAAAATGATTAACACAGCAAGGCTAAGTGGTATGAGCAGTGGTCCTCATTAGCATACCAACCCCTCTGACCCTTTCTCCTGCAGGAAACCAAGCTGTGTCATCACAGAGGGTAGAGGGGTTGGGGCATTTTCCTACCCACACGATTTCTCCACTCATAGAAGCCTAGGTGTGCAGGACGAAGTTCAGAAGAACACTACCTATAACTTGAACTTGCTCTTTAGCCAAAGTGGCCAAAGCATCCAGGATATAGAACTCAAGCCAAGAAAACCCTTATATGCTTAGCCATCTAAAAGGCTGTATCTTGAACACACTAGACTCGGTCCAGGATGTAGTGGAGGTAGACCTCCCATAAATGGTGGGTTACTGGGCAGTTGAAAAAGAAATATTGGCAAAGCATGCCCACCTGAGATGGTGAGAGAAGCAGAAAAGAAGCCTAAGAAATAAATAACAACATTCCCAGCCACAACCCAAGCCCAGCAGCCTGAGGAAGCCAGATAGTTCAGCTGCCAGACCTGGCCCCACCACACTCTATGTCCCCCGCAGTTGGGTTTTGTATCCTAGAAGCATGGGGTGAAGTGAGCATGGAAAGACTTCCCAGCCAGAAAGAGGAAGCTGCTGTAGAGGCTCAGAACTGCTGGAGGATTATCTTCTGCTTCACGTCATGGCTGAACTTGTTCATCCGAAAGAGCTCACTGTCATAAAAGGCAGAGAGGTTGTGGATGTTGATCTGACGGGCCTAAAAGGAGAAAAAGTCAAGTGAGCCGTGGGAATGGATTCCAGAATGCCCAAGTAGCCTTGGGTTCAGTTCGCTTTCTAAGGCCCGTTCACCGCAGGCTGGGCAGGCCTCCCATCTCCATTACAGGGAAAGTCAACCAGGGCAGAGGCTGGCTGTGTCGGGTCTGAAGCTAGACACAGGCTTGCCATCTTAGCTCTGTCAACTGCCTGTGACAGGGCTCAGGAGAGCTACTCAGTGCCCTGTGATGTCTCCTCTGTAGGATGAGATAACAGTAACAGGACTTACCTCTTTTGGCTGCTGTCAAGATTATAAACGTATGGAACAGTACTCAGCACATTACAAACATCCAATAAATGGCTTTCATCCGAGGCCCACCCACTCACTGACAGAGCAAGGACCTTCTGCCCCCAAAGATGACCGACAGCTCCCCAGATAGCCAACCCTGCCCTCCCCTCCCATCTGTGCCCGTACCTTGTCCACCAAGTCCTTCTCAGGCACTTCAATAGTGTCCTGCTGGGCCCCAAAGCGGTTGCGTTGATAAGTCACCTGCTCTGCCACTAACTGCTTCAGTATGAAGAGCAACAGCTCATTGTTATCACGCCGGAATGAAAGGTAGCGGGCAAAGGTCTGCATGAGACAAGAGCAAAAAAATCACCATCCCTCCCTACCAGGATACTCAGAACTAAAGGAAGTGGTCATCCCACTGCCACCATGCTCCTTCACCACCAGCAAGAGCAGCCAGGGCCTTCTGCTGCCAGGCAGCACAGTAAAGCCAGTGCCAGGCCAGTGTCTCGAGATGCCCATGTGGCCTCCCTCTCAGGCACTTCAATAGTGTCCTGCTGGGCCCCAAAGCGGTTGCGTTGATAAGTCACCTGCTCTGCCACTAACTGCTTCAGTATGAAGAGCAACAGCTCATTGTTATCACGCCGGAATGAAAGGTAGCGGGCAAAGGTCTGCATGAGACAAGAGCAAAAAAATCACCATCTCTCCCTACCAGGATACTCAGAACTAAAGGATGTGGTCACCCAACTCCCACCATGCTCCTTCATCACCAGCAAGAGCAGCCAGGGCCTTCTGCTGCCAGGCAGCACAGTAAAGCCAGTGCCAGGCCAGTGTCTCGAGATGCCCATGTGGCCTCCCTCCTGTGCTAAGCTGACCCTGAGCTCCTAAGGAACCCCACCTCAGTGCACACCCACCTTCCGCATGCTGCGCATGACACTGAACTTCTGCGTGTCGATGAAGCTCTCCAGCATCACTCGGATGGCCATGTTGACGTCATCCTCTATCACATAGTCCCGCAGGTGGATGCGCGCGTGGGCCTCTGCCATGCGGATCATGGACTCGATGTGTCGCACTGTGATGGGGATGCTGCCTGTGGCCTGGAGAGGAGGATAGCATCAGATTTTCTCGGGCAGAAGAGAGGCCAGGGAAACAACAGTGGCAATGCCAAAAGCCCAAACCCAGAGGGCACATCCAATCACCCTGTGGCAGAAGCGCTCAACAGAGCCAGCAGGTGAGCTCACTTTCTATTCCTCCTTGAGGTGTGGTAGTGCCCAGTGGATGCCTCTGCTATGGCCTGTCACTATCACACCTGCACATTTTGCCGCCAACCGTTCACTTACATGCATCCCAGAATCTGTTATACTTGTGGCCAGCTGTCCTTGCTACTGTCATGTGCAATGTAGAAAAAATAAGCTGTTGTTTCTATGAAAACTAAGTTGAATGCTCTAAGACTTGATGAAAAGGTTGTTAAAAAAAAAAAAAGAGTTGTGATCTTGATTAGGCGTGTGAGAAAGGCCAATCTACAAGAATTCTGTATTCCAAATGCTTGCATGCTGCCTTTAAATCTTCATCCTACCATCAGAGAACCGAAACCAGTTCAGAGCACCTGATGATTTGGGTGAGATTTATGCAAAGTCAACATGGAACTTAATCAGTGGCCGTCAAAAGACCTTGGTCCTATACCCACAGAGACAAATGCACGCACACATAAGTGCCATCTGAAACAAAACACTTCAGGTATAAGGTATGTAAGTTTCCTTTAAAAAGCCTTCCTGCTTTAGCACTTTTTGGATTAACTGACTACAAGGATGAGAAAGCTGCTGCCTATTCCTGCCCCACCCAACCCCACCCAGCCCTCTGGCTCCCAGGGCCGCACCATGGATTCTTTCCTCAGGTCGCTGTACATCTTGGCCACCTTGTCCTGGTCCATCTGATTGAGCTTCGGGTGGACCTTCTCCTTGGCATAGATGATGTACTTCTTCAGGACATCCTGCGGCAGAGGCTCCACACCGAATGTGTTGGGCATGGTGGGTTCTGGGGTGCTGCCCAGCCTCTCCTCCTCCTTGTTACTAGGGTGGTGTCTGACGTGGCTGCCGACCACGAAACGGGCCAGCATCTCATCCTAAGACAAGAGGGAAGAGGGCAGGTCGCAGGGGAGTCTCGTGGCCTGGCTGGGAGAAGTGCAAGCTGATATGCTTCAGAAGAATGTTCTCTCAACACTTATATCCCAAGCCTACTATGTGCTAGGCAGCTCCAGGTACCCGGGTCCATTGGTAAATGTGACCGAGCTCTCATGGAGCTCACCTCCCAGGGAGGGTAGAAAAGACAGTTTTTAAATTAATTACAGAAAGTAACATGTGCTAAGAAGAGAAGTAAGGCAATGTGTGAGGGCCCGAGGAGACTTCTCCAGGTGAGGTTGCTAGAATACCTGTCATCTGACAGTCCAGAGAAGAACATTCCAGGAAGGAAAAAGCAAGTTGGAAGCTCTGGCATCTTTAAGGTGTGGATGAAGTGAGGGAAAGAAGAGAGAAGTGAAGAGATCTCTTAGGCTGGCAGCCACAGCAAGGATGGTGGATTCTCTGAGTTACAGGGAAAGCTGCTAGCAGGTTCTTAAGAAGGAAAGGCATGACCTGACTTATGCTTTCAAAAGACAGGCTGGCTTCTAACTGGAGGTCTAAATTGGGCATGAGTGGAAGCCAGGAGACTAACCACCGGACACACCAGTGCTTCGATGAGAGCAAGAGAAGCAGCAAGTGAACTCAGGCAGTGGGACCAACAGAACTTGGTGGCAGACTGTGGGCTGTGTTGGGTGGACAGCCGGGAAGGGGACCAGTGAAGGAAACAGAAATCAAAGTTGACTTCTGGATATGAGAACAAGAGTGGAAAACACACCAAGGTCCATGTGGTGCCCCCTTTCCTCATGCCTGGCACACCAGAGGCCCCAAGCCTCATGGAGGTTCCCAGAACTTACTGCATGGAACCTGGGACAGGTGGTTGTGTACCTGGACTGGATCCACTGTGTCCCGCACCACACACAGGATGTCGAAGCGGGAAATGATAGGCTCCGTGAGGTCCACGTTTTCTGAGAAGGTCAGTGAGGGGTCATAGCGGCCCCCTGTAACACAAAGGAAGCTATCAGGGTTCATGCTCCCGCACATCCTCTCTTCTTGAGCCACAGAAAGTGCTCTCCAACCCCAAGTTGCTTCAGTGACAGAGGGGAAGAGCACTTTGGCAGAGGAACTAGGAGGGTGGAGATTCAGCGCCTGCTGTCTGAGGCGGTCTGGACGAGAGACAGAAGAGGCTTTCCCCGAGCCACAGCCTGAAATCGCCTCAAGCCGGAAAGCATACCTGTCTCCTGGCAGGAACAGCCAACCAGACAGGCGAGGGTGCCGGGCTCTCTAAGCACTTGCTGGCTGGGTTTAGCAACCACTCCACCCACACTTAGACAATGACCTAGATTCTTCTCTCAGGTGTTCTAAGAATGGCCATGGTGATTCTGAGAACATGGCTCAACAAAAACGCAGGCACATCACTTTCCGCTCTGGCAGGCCAGGCAAGAAAGAATCACCATTTGTTGCATAATTCCTAACCCAGATCTGGGACTGAAGGAGGGGTGCTGTGGGTTCCTGATTCCCAAAGGCAGGGTCTCTCTGGGTCTTGTCCCCTTTAGCAGGCCCTGAGCCCTGCCAGCTAGTGTGCCTGGTGTACCTATGGGGTTGGCAGCAGCAATGACGGTGCAGCGAGCCTGTAGTGAGGTAACGATGCCAGCCTTCGAGATGGAGATACTCTGCTGTTCCATGGCTTCATGAATGCTGGTTCTGTCCTGGTCATTCATCTGCAAGAGTCGAATGCACGATTCTCCGTGATATGCCTCGTTAACACTTATCCTCCACTGTGGGCTAAGCCAACACACCCTGAATCCATCACCCACAAGGTCCAGAACCCACCTTGTCAAATTCATCGATGAGACATACTCCTCGGTCAGCAAGAACCAGGGCTCCAGCTTCTAAGGTCCACTCCCTGCTGACGGGGTGCCGCTGAACATATGCTGTGAGCCCCACAGCTGAAGCCCCCTGGCCGGTGGTGAAGATGGCACGGCTAGACACTTTCTCAACATATTTGAGGAACTGAGACTTGGCTGTGCCAGGATCTCCGCACAAGAGCACATTGATGTCACCTCGCACCTTGTGCTTGCCCCCTGCAGGCAAGGATGGGAGGAGAGGGAGTGGAGACGAAAGGAAGGTAAGGGGTAAAGGGCTTACCTCCAATTTCTTAGCCTATTATGAATGACAACGAAATATTCTCTCCAGAAAGGGATGCAATACCCTAGGATCAGCAATGCCACTACTGAGCAACGAACCCAGAAAAATGGGTACATAGGAGGTGTATATAAATACGTTCTTTGTAAATGTAAAAAACTGGAAGCAACTTAAATGTTCTCTAACTAGAAAGATAACCAAATACATTATGCTATATGGACCATGATTTAACTTAAATTACATACAGTAATTTAAAAGAATGAACTTGCTCGGTATGCACTAATACCAAAAGATACCAAAGATGTGTTTCTTGAGTGAGAAAAAGTAAGATGGATCCTTTATGCATACTCACTTATACTCACATACAGGAACATGCATTTTTGTGTGAAATCCTGTGTTTTCTAAGTACGCGTGTTAAACCTATGAATAGCCACACAAAGGTCTGGGAGTGCACAAACCACAAAGACCAGAAGAGTGACCTACAGGGAGGGACCTAGGATTAAAAAGGGTGGTCGACAGGGACTTTGGCTTTTCTCTAACTTCTAACTATTTAAGAGGATATAATATAAGTAAAAATTCATCTATTTTTAAGTTAAGACAAGTTTTTAAAAGATAAAGTTTTAAAAACAGGAGTGAAGCAAAGATGAATTTGCTCCTCACAAAGGAAGGCAATGGTAGAGCTAGGGACACTGTGATGCCCAAGATGCCATGCCCTGGGCTGTGTTCTCCCTGTGATGACCGAGCCACCTCTTACCAAGCTCTAAATACAGTCCTGCCTTGTCTGGTATCTAGACTCTGGCTCCTACCAAATTCCCCGCAGAGGCTGCTCACCTGGGTTTTTGGGCTCCCCTCCAAACAGAGCCAGCGCCAGGCCTCTCTTGATGTCTTCGTGCCCGTAGATGGAGGGAGCAATACTGGCAAAGATCTGAAGAAGGAAGGGAGCGAGCCATGGGAATAGGACCTCTGCTCTGGAGTCTGGGCAGATAACCACCCTGTTCCAGTCTTGGGGGATGGAGAAGCTCCAGCCCCAAAGCACCCACACTACAGCTGCTTCAATTCCACCAGATCTGGCCTTAAGCCCGACCTTATGACTATGGGCCTTGTTATTGGTTGGCTCTTCCTGAGAATCACAGAATTTAATGCTTAAAAGAACTTTGGTCAGACCCCTTTATGTTGTCCTAATTTAGAAAAGTCTACCCCAAGGTTGCAGATCAAGAGCAGAAAGGAGACAAAACCCAGGTTCTGACAGCAGGAAGACACCTCACATAAGCTCTGTGGTGAGCCTGTGATGGAGAAATACAATACAATACAATACAATACAAAGCCAGATCTGGCATGGAAACAGCGTTAAGTGTCCTTCAGCGGATGAATGAATGAAGAAGATGTGGTACAATGGAATGAATACAAATCAGCCATAAGAAAGGATGAAATACTGCCATTTGAGACAACATGGGTGGATCTTAAGAATATCATGCTAAGCAAAATAAGTCACTCAGATGTGGGATAGAAAACAGAAAGCAACAAATGAACACAAAACAATCAAAGAAAACTCAACGACACAGACAGTATGATGTGACCAGCGGGAGGGGGGAGGGGGGCTGAAGAAGGTAAAGGTGGTCAAATACACATGACGGAAGGAGACTGAGCTTGGGCGATGAGCACACGATGCAACATACAGATGACGCACTGAAACATATAAATACAGAGCATCAGGGAGACGCAGCCACCAGGAATCCAGGTCATTTCAACCGGTGAGTCACTGAAACATTTCCCATCTGCGTGTGTGTGTGTGTGAGAGAGAGAGAGAGAGAGAGAGAGAGAGAGAGGAGAGAGAGAGAGAGAGAGAGAGAATGCAAAATCTGCTGAATGTTAAGATGAAACGAGACATTAGACACATCTTGCTGATGGGAGTCAGCTTCCACCTGTGGCATGGCTGTGGCTTCACTATTCTCAAACTTTCCACCCTCTGCAAAGCAGTGTGTCCTCACAAGCCAGACTGAGCGGCGTGGGAAGCACCAGGCCCCGGGATGAGGCTGTCGGGAAATCAGCACTAGAAGTGCTGAGGGAGACCCACCCCCACAGTGCTGGATCCAGCTGTCTGGTCTCAGCCACCAGCCAAGTGGAAGAGGTACTCCCTCCGGCTTCCCTGAAAGCACGGAGATGAGGGAAACCCGTTTCTGGGAACTGGCGCTCGGGGTCAGCCATCTATTCCGTGTACGGCCTCTCTCCACCAGAGCCAGGGCCATGTGACCACAGGACCTTCGGAAACAGGGTCTGCTGGTACCAGTGGTGCTGGTGCCAGAAAGGCCTCCTGCCACGATTTTACTAGCTAGGAGTAGAGGTCTGTTTCCACAACACTGCACCTTTTTTGGTTCTTTCTCTGACCCTAATATTTACTGCAATACCCAGTCCAAGCAGAGGCTGTTAGCACTGTTAATATTAGTGGCTCACAGTGGTCCAGGTCTAGTGCATCTAGAGGCAGACGTCTCCAAATACTGTTTCCTACTGAAAGGAAAGAATATTTCCCACAGGGCTGTTTGGAGAAATAGCTGATTCCAGGTCTGGAGCAGGAGCCTGCAATAATCATAGCACAGAAACCTCAACGACATTAAAACCTACAATTTTACAATCATGAAAATGCCAACATCAACCAAATAACTGATAGAAGGGAATTGCTAATTATTTTTAAGTGTGATGATGGTATTGTGATTAGGTTTTAGTAGAGTCTTTTGGAGACACATGCTAATATAGTTACAGATAAAATGCTGGCATTGCCTTGGAAATACTTGAGAGGGAGTGCAAGTACAGAGGAAACAAGCTTGGCCAGACTGGGACAACTGGTGAAGCTGAGTGAGGGATGTATAAGGGTTCACTATACCATTCCATATACACATCTGAAAATTTCTGTAATACAGTTTTAAAATATAGATCAGGACCTGTGCTAGGGTACCCCACAGAACTGACAATTAGCAAGTACACAGGCATCCTCCGAAACTCTGGCTACTGTATGGAGGGAGCAGGGTGCAGTCATTGGGAGTCTCTGAAGCCAGACTGCCTGGGTAGAAATCCTGGCTCTGCCATTTGTTAGCTACGTGACGTGGGTGACTTATTTAAACCCTTGTACCTAAGTTTATTCATCAATAAAATGGACGCAGATACATCTAGATTATAGGATCGTTGTTACTACCTGGAAATTACCTAAACAGTGCCAAGCAGACGCTCAGTACTGGGTACATACAACAATTTGTTTATTAAACCCTCATCTGCATTGGGGATATTGGAAGATACTCTGCCCCAGATTCCCTATCCTCCTACACACCATGTGCCGTCAGTCCTCTTTATCCAGACCGCTACTCGGAGCTGTTTTTGTAGCGGGCAGCCTTGCAGCATGAACTCGTGTTTCCCCTCCAGGACCATGAGGAGCAGCCTGGAACCTGCTTGCTGTGTATGGCAGGTTCCCAAGCGGACACCCCCTGCCTCCCTTTAGGGCAGTAGGGGAAGGGGCAACTGTGTTATTGCCTACACTGCCCACCATGCCCTGTGGCTGACCCAGTGACTCTTGGAAAGTAACAGGCCAACTTAAGCTGATAAGAAGGGTAAATTCAAACCCAGACCTGACAGGAAATATCAGTGCTTCCCATGAATTATTTCACTTAACCTCAAGCTCATGCTCTTAACTCTCTGCGGGCACTAACCCGTCACTCTTCAGAATACCCACCTGCATGCCTGCTGTGAACAGGAGACAATGCGAGGGACCACCTGAGGTGCCAGGCCCAAGGCTATGTTTACCTTTCCTACTGGTCCTTTACGCTTTCCACACACCATGCTGGCACCTCCATCCAGTTTTTGTATCCAGTTCAACTTTTTTAAGAACCTGTATTAGTAACAGCTAGCTGCTGAGTAGTCCACAGCTAGCACATCACGTGTTCATCTGTTTAATCCAGGGGTCCTCAAACTTTTTAAACAGG